CGCTGAAGGGTTGATTCTGTGAAAATAAAATCCAGCAAATAAACTTTTTTTCCTATATTTCACTAGTTAAATATCAGTGAAAATAAATTCCATACAAAACGCCCAAAAAACCTTTTCAGTGAAAATTTATTCTAGCAAAAATATAGTATTCCACAGTAAGCAAATAACACCGAATAAACGGTAAGGTAAATACTACGTCAAATTATGACTCGAACCGGTGTTCGCGTACGGCACCTAATCGCCTAGCTTCACGCCACTAAACGTCTTCCACCAGCCACCGGGAAGACACGTAGTGGCGTGTAGCTAGGTTGCGTACAGTTTATTCAGAGTTATCTGATTAGGACTATGTGTATGTGACAATGCCTAAACAGTTTACCAACGGCCAATCATATTGCTTCGCCAAGCTATCAAAGTTCACAGGAACTGAGTCACAAGATGCTACATGCTGCTATTGAAGATGCGCACCACTCTACCATGCATTTTTATGGGCTCTGCACGAGCTGCTGTGAAACACAGACTGAAAAGCCAGTGAAAATAGCTAAAATCAAGAAAACAGCACAAATTTGAAGTGATCCTAAACAACGAAATTTAAATATGTTGCATATGTAGGCGTGATCTTGATACACTGTTCAGGGAAGTCTCAACAACCATCCCAAAAAGAAACTGTTTTCTAAGAGTTTTCGACCTTTATTAATGGCGAACGACAGATCGAAATGACAATGATTTTAACAGCTTTTCACCCATTTATGTCATAGCTGCATTTCATCAATAGAGAAAATAAATTATAAGAAGGATGCAAAAAGTGTAGATTATTAAGCATTGTATCACTTTTCTGAACTGTCTTGCTGAGCTGTTCCTAACTGGGGTTCTATCCATAGCAACCACTTTCATTTGAATGCATATAAAAATTGCTAAATACACGACAGCAGAGCAATTTCAAGCGAGATCTTTCGTAAGAATGTCCAACATTAATTTGGGTAGATATTAGCTGAGCACAAAGATTGGGCATAACTGAGATAGAAGAAAGAAATATGGACGAAGACAATTTATAATAAGATAACCATGTAGTCAGTACTTTCTTTACTTAAACATTAACAGGGCATACAAAAACTCTGGACTTGGAATGCAATGCAATACATTCAAGATTCAAGGGATCTGAGCATATGGAAGTCCTTTATACAATTTCAGTAAAAGTAATCAATACAAGGAGCAAACAAACATTCTCCATTATAAGTGAAAGTCCCTTACAAACTTCACTAACAATGCTGGCATTTAATCTTACAATTTTTTTTCCGAAACTTAATACATTTTTATGGCAATACATTTTTATGAGTCACAACTGATGTAAACAAACAAAACGCGAAAACAACTTTAGAGATTCTCTTGCTGTGAGGGCAACCAAATTGTGGTTTGACAAGCACACCATAGAATGAAACTCCAGGTAATGTTTGAAGTATGCAGACATAAACAATGCTCACTGTTGTTTTCAATTAATCAAATCTATAATGAATTTATAACAAGACTCCCTTCGGTAACAGAAATGTATGATATTGTTATTCTGATATTTCTTAATCCCGCCTGAGAGGGAAGCTATCTGATGTAATGCCATTTTTGTCGATTACATTTATAATAATAGAGTCTCCTGTGTAGATGTCCCTTTCAGCTGCTGATATAAAGACGTCTTTTGCTAGATTCACAGCTTTGTCCCTTGACAGGGCAACTTGTTCTACTCCTTCTTGGTTCTTGAAACCAATCTACAAGGAAACGTTAAAGCAAATAAGTACAAGAAAGAACACCATTTGTATTTTTGAATGCACACTCAGCACACCTTTTATAATATTGAAGCAAAAGGTTTCAAACAAAGTTTGAATCAAAAGGGTCTTAAAGTGCAAAATTATAAATACATTATGGTGAGTAGAGATTTCCAACTGCAATGAACTGGGAAACAGAATGAACAAAGTGGCTCCCCTTTACTGGTTGGTCAGTGAAATGGAAGTGCTTAATTTACATACAAAAAAAACAGGATAATTAAAAACACAGAATTTTCCACACATGTACAAGGTAGGTGGACATAGTGGCATGTCCACAATGTTCTACAAATTCACAAAACATTCCTATTTATAGTCAGAAGATTGGAACAAAATAGCAACATTTTTTGAGTAAAAACTGAAAATTGGCTCAAACTTTGTCTGTTGGGTCAAAAATTAGGGTTCATTTCCAGAAATATTGAAGAATATACGAAAAAAATCTTAACTTGGCAGACAAATCTGGGCAAGGAAGTCAAGTAGTAAAAAAAGGTTAACTCACCAAATCATGAAACATCTCTATCAGTGATAATTTACTGAATTAACCTTCTCAACAAAATAATCATAATTTGAGTGCTCACTATCTGAACACCCCAGTGAAATATTCAATGCTACAACATTTATAAATTACTTTTGAAATTCATGCAAATCAGTCTCACAAAATTAAAACATTTTGCAGAATATCAGTCAAATAAAATACTAATTGTGATAAATGAACTAACCTGATTATCTAACAGTGGTTGCAGCATAGCACTAGCAGATCCAGCTGATCTGTAACTTTCTCTCTCATATGAGCCAACAGGATCATAACTATATACACATCCTTTGCCTGAAAAAAGGAATCCATTGGGAAATATTACTTGACATGTGGGAATATGCAAATAGCTTGAGTTGTCATTACTACTATATCTACAATCTTAAAATAATTATATGAATCAGTGATCAATTTGATATTTTATTATCAGATAATTTATTCAATAGATAGAGACAAAATAGCAGGCATTGGCCTTTAACGATCAAAAAATCTTTGATATCTACTCAGAACTGCCAGTTGTAAAAGCTGGCAGTCCCATGGTAAAATTTGGTAGTCCATCTGGTTTAGTAGGTATTTACAGCCATGTAAAAAAGGTGTGAAAGGTGTAAAAAATGCATGTCATTTTGTCTAAATTGTGTAGAACATCCATTGTTTTATTTCAAAAACAAAGTACATGTTCTAATGATTTGTGAATTTCCAGTAGCTAAGGTTGGCGTACAGACAACCAAATTATCAATCATTGGCTTGGGTTAATATCAACTTTGAGCACTGGCACTCAAGTTGTTGCACAGCATGCTTTCAAAATATGACTAGTGTTCTCCACAAGGGGTTTTAGGTGGCCCGCCCATCAAGTTTTACGGCCGCCTAGTTACTCTTAACACCCACCCACCAACGTACATCCAGCTGAAATGATTTGTAAAAAGCTTGCATTGTTATTCCCAGGCCAAAACAAAAGAGTGGTTGCCCAACCCTTTATTTTGCTATTGTTTCAAGAGTCCAGGTATAAACAATAATCAGCTTTAATTAGTAAATATGTAACTGATTTATGGCAATATAGAAAAGAAATGATGAATGTCATTTAAAGATATGTATTATTGTTTTCATTCTGCGGATACAAAGGTTGAATAAACATTATTTTTATTATTAATATTATTATTATTAATGACCACTGGAAGTCTGCAAGCAGTTATCAAGTGTATACATTGTCGCTCGGTATTGTTGCCACTTGCTCACAATACGCAAACTATAGTAGTTTCAATTCACTGCTGTATTTTTTAATAAACGTCTTCTGATCACGAAAGAAGGAAGTAAATATGAACGAAATATACATGCACAGAAAATAAACAAATATATAAGCAGATTGCATGTAAATTCTAGCCGTATTTACAACATTTGCTTGATTTTTAGTGCTAAACAGCATAAAGAAGGCAAATTGACCTTTTGCCCTACGCCATTCAGCGACCGTCGGTCACCCACCGCTGCATAGGGGAACAGTGCATTCTGGGCGTTCGCGTCCTGAATTTGGAAAGCAGTAAAAAAAACATCAAACATGGTTGTAAATTGAATACGTATTTTAGTTATCTTTTCCGCATACTTTTTCACTTCATCGATTTTTTATGTCAACATAGATTCTTTTATTGTGTCCATTGCTAGCTTTTTTTCTTGAATTCCAAAACTACTCTGTGTGCAAAGGCAATGTGTCGTAGCTGACTGTGCATGTGTAAATCGTACAGTCTGTCGGCACGGGTTGGTACTGTGATGCCACAAATGAATGTGTTATGGGTTTTATTTTGACAAATAGTAAGTTTTGGCTTTGTGGACAAATCACCTCGTATATTTTCTACATTATATTTGTTCTAGCTTTTAGTTACTCGACTGCATTGTACATCTGTATTTCATGAATGCGGAATATGTTTAGAACGAAAAAATTACCGATTTAAACCTTGCATTTCGTAAATATTAATATTAACCAATCTGTATTTCAAAAGATTGTAACATGTTTTAATTAAATTTAAAAATGAATAGTGAATAACTTAGTGTGTATTGCAGTTCATGACATAAATGCTAGAATGTTGTATGTGAATGATACGCAAATCACTATGCAAATTTATGCTAATTAGGTCTCCCACCTGCTGTTTTGGATTGTGGAGAACACTGATGACAAACAATAAATCTTACAAACTATGTACACATCGCATAGGACCCAATCTAATTTTGTATATAATCACAATTGGAATACACATTAAGAGCAGCTAAGAACTCATTTCGCCCAACCTCCCGCCCGTTTCAGATCGTTTTTTTTTTTCGCTCGCTTTGTTCAATTCGACCGGACAATTTCCGGTTTTTTTCGACTGCACAAATCCTGAAGTATCCGCTCGCGCACTCGCTCGCTTACCAGACAGCGCAACCGCCCGCATTTACAGTTCATTACCTATTGTTTCATGTACAAGTGTATCATTTTGGTTTTTATGATGTTAAACGAAGAATAAATACAATCAGAAATTTATAGAACGACCGTTGAAAAAATATGGTATATCATACTGCCATATAAAATTGGTAATAATACATAACTAGGCGGCTGGCAAGCGGACTAACACGTTACATAAACCTGTTGAATTACATTTGTGGTTTTTATTTTTGCACCAAATGTCTCGTTATAAAATAAAGGATTAAAATTTTGCAGGGTGTTCCTTTTTGCGAACTCTGGGCGAAATACTTCTAAGAGCTGTACGTAGTTTACTTACAGCCAAAACAAAGTCAGCTTGGACATTTAGTTGTGAGACGCGACAAAACAAACGCTACCAGTGATAGATTTCGTGAATAAAAGAACAAAATAAATGCAATCAAAGGCGCCGACCACACGCGTTGGAAATAAATAGAACGTGTTGCTAAAAGGAATCGCACCTGCATCTCGACGACGTCTCCGGTCATGAGCAGGGTTTTGGAAAAATTGAAAGATAAAAGGGAATCAGTGGAACCAATGACAATGTTTAATGAAAAATCCCACGCGAAAGTTAGTTTTTTTTGCGTATCTTTAGGAATACTCAATTACAAACACTGTCACTATGGTACCTGAATCCACAGGCGCTCGGAACGTTTCTTGGATAATAAAAAAAATGACCTAAAGTAGGATCGGAATAATCCAATTAATTCATGAATATGAATTGGTAGGGGTCAATTTCCTGCAATCCTTCAAGATAGCCTTGAGTGGAGATTAAATTTACCTCCGAAAATCTTTCTAAGTGACGATGACCGGGAAGATTGCCATGATTGCGTGCCACAATTTCTGTTTTAAGATTTATTCGGTATAATAATACAATATTTTTCTACATAAAAACAAAAGAATTTCACAATGTCGAAAACGGAAACATCCACGTGAAGGAGTTTCTGTTTTCAACATACCATGTTCACACAATCACAGACATTATTTGTAAGGGTGCCCTTTGAAATGGCACATTTTCTCGATGTTTTAGCGAGTACTCCGCGGGGTATATGGCTTGTTCTCACATTAGCACAATTTTCCTTGAGTTCACTCTTCGCTGCTAACATTTTTTTGCACTCTAATATGTTGTTGAATTTTATTTGATGACAGTTCGAATTTATCCACTTTTACAGTGATCATTATTGCGTTCAAGTTGAGTTACTAGTATTTACAAGCCCGATTTACATTTTACTTGCGGTGTTTCATCAATGTATTGAATATAAATGCTTTGGGAAATAGCATAATTATATTGCGTAAGTGAAAGAGTCTGATGAGGCTGTGTCACAACACGTTTTATTTATTTCCAACGCCCGTGGTCGGCACCTCTGATTGCATTTATTTTGTATTTTTATTTTTGAAATGTATCACTGGCTGCGTTTGTTTTAATTGATGTTTTCCTCTTTCATTTTTCGTCCGGCTGCTGCCAATCCAATAATTCATCGCCACATGTACTCAGACAAGCGATTAATCGTCACAGTCATAATACTAGTAGTTTAAGTCCAACTGATTTGTAGAAATTCAGCTATGCGATGATTATATGTGCAGTTTTGTTTTGCGCACCCAGACACAAGCAAAAGTTAACCAGATAGATTTTCTGAACAACAGCATTCGTATTACTTATGCAAATTGAGTAAGGGTCATAGTGTGAGTTGCGTTCGCAAATAACAAAGTATCAAATTATTTTGAGCGCCGTTCAGAATAAATGTACGATCATAGTTACTCCAGCGGTCAGATGGCAAGCGGACGATGTTTCTGAAGCCAGCCATAGCAAGAACGAGCGAACAAATGCGAGCGAGAGAAAAGCGGTCGGTTTCCAATCGGAAAGCAGTGAGCGGTCGGAAATTAAGCGATAAACGGTCGGAAAAAAAGGGATAAAAGCAAGAGATTGGGCGGAATGAGTACTGTACCTACACTTTAGCAGGAGTCATTAAAGTGATTTCCTAGGACAGTGATATCCTGGGAGAAAATATCTGTACACTTACCTTCAGTATCCAATCCTGCAACTATATTATAAACATAGTATGGAAAGAATCGTCGGTAGTAGAGTATAGTTGATATCATAGCAGCAATGGCTGGGCAACTCATTTCCTTGTGGTGGTCATTTTTATACATCTATAATCAAATCAATAAGTGTGCAACTTTATTGTAAAATTTCATCAGGAATGTACTATCATTAATCATTTCTCCACAAGTGATTTTTCATCACTGTGAGATCTTCAACTTCATTTCCTTTTGTTTTAATAGCTCTATGACAAAACGCTGATCTTTCAGGGGGGAAATATTGCATTGATGTATCCCTTTGACCATCATCAAATGTGTATAGCATATTATTAAGCACGGAATACTCCCAAAATATGTTTATCCTGTTTTGTTTTTTTGGTTTCAAGCATACAGCAGGATCTCACAGTAAACGAAAAATGATCTACCGGTATTAACCTTTTCATCACCAGACTGTCTCAGCCAATTTTTCTGCAATATTTCTGGAAATTAACTCCAGTTTTGGAGCCAACAGACAAAATTTGAATCCTGTTTTGTTTTCACTCGAAAAAATTGGCTATTTTTGTTCCAATCTTCTGAAGGAAAGTGCGGGCTATAAACAGACTATTTTGTGAATTTGTGATGAAAAGAGAGAACTGTTAGTAGGCGGACAACAAATGGCATGCACGCCACAAATCCTCGACAGACCACAAAGTTTGAAATCCTGTAATTTCTAGATTAAGGTTTTAGGATGTCTCAAAGTGAACACTGGTAATCAATCCTTCAAATGCAGTTGATGGCTGTTGAAGAAAGTGTCACATGTAAATGTACACACATAGGGGTTGAAATTAAGGCCTGATCACTGGTCCCTTTCAACATACTAATTTAAATATTTTCATTAATTGTAGATATTTACATTTTTTTATTGACAGCAATGTTATCCACGGGTTGAAAATTTAGCCTGGCGGGCAAAGCCTGCCAAATGCCAGCGCCGAAGGCAGTTAGCCACGAGGGAAAAAGCTTTGAAATTTAGATGTCTTTAGATTCAATCTGGGGTGTTTCCCCGGCGTAAATCTCGACAACCTTTATCTTATTTAACAGTGTTCTCCCCAGGCCAAAACAGCGTCGCGGGCCCCGACGCGATCGGATTTGCCCGCGACGCTACATGTATGTGTTTCCTCCGCGATGCTATTATTTATCCCGTGATCTGATTTCTTCAGTCTCTCGCAGACTAAGTTTCCTGGCTAACTAGTTAAATCTACAAATGCATTGTATTAACGCCAATTTCCCGGGATAATCCCCTGTTGTTTCTCATTGGTTGGATATCGTTTTAAAAAAACAAAGCAGTTCTATAAAGACAAAGCCGTAAGCCCCGGTGTCAAACGCTCTTTGCCAAACGTATATTCATATGCAAATGATATAGTCACACTTGGGGTCAAAAGCCACATGTTTCTGGTGTGTACGAAACGTATTTTCATTATTATTTTTATAAATGCAGTAGTACTATTATTCTAAGTTTTGATTTTTGTCAGTATTTTTGATATTTTATTTGTTTTTTGAGATCAAAATGTGAAAAAATATATAGTTATGATGTAAACAATTTTGACCTCGTGATTGTGAATCCAAGATGGCGTCACCCACGTAAGATCCAGCGAGCGTGAACTTCTCACTCGGATAGCATATCGTGCTCAGATTCGGATGAATTAAGTGAAGCATAATTGAAAATAATATATTTATCAAGAAATCGGGAATTCTAATCAAGAAACGTGTGGAAATTGGAGTGACACTTGTGTTATTTCTTGGAAGCCTCAATTTTACGTGGTATAACAATGGCGACAATTCGTAATTCAGACCTCCGTTGTCTCGAATTGTTCACAATTGTGTTGAACAGACAACATCGATGATTAAAAAAAATACATAAAGATGGATAATTTCAGCCAGAAAAACTATTATTGCTCGAACATAGTAGCGTAAGTATCATGACTCGTAACAGTTGTTGTACTTAACCGGAAAACAACAGAAACGGAAGACAAGCAATGAGAATAATCAACCCCATGTTTAATTTACCGGGACTGAACAGGGTTTTATAAAGTTGCTGATTGCTGGGCCAAGCAAAGGAACAGAAAACTCAGTATTTCTGCGGGACATTTGCAATACTAAACATGCAGTGAAATAATTGTATACAGATTGTACATAAAATAAATAGAAAAAAAGGAAAAAAAACTGGTTTTGTTTTATTTCTCCATATGACAAACAATGTTAATTTATGCTAATTATATGCTAATTATTATGCAAATTAGCCCCGACTCTATGAAAAATTTCTGGGGAGAACACTGTTTAACCCTTTTCCGGTCAGGGGAGTTTCACGCTATCAGGTTAAGTCGTTGAAAAACGGTCATGATTCAATGCACTCCAGTAGCCAGCATCTGAGCATGCTATCCTGCCAGACATTTTTGCAAAAATAGGCCATAGTTAACAGACTGTATCGACCACAGTTTTCACATTTTTTGCAATCTGTTTGCATACACACTTCATTACCACCAT